AAAAAAAAAAAAAAAAAAACACCACAGTAAGTACACAAGTGTGTGTTTTGTTTTGTTTTTTTAATGAATGATATGAATGGGACTTCCACCAGCTTACAAGGGACCCTCCTTATCTCTCAGCTCTACTCTGATGCCTGGATCTCACCTGCTTATCTGAGATCCCAGCCAAGCCATCCACCACACCAAGTCAACCAAACTCAGCAGTGCTCACAGGCCTTTAATCTGAAACTTCCTAGCCAGATTTCATCACTGATTTCATATGCCCAGGCATACCACACCAGCAATGAGTCCAAGAGGGAAAGGCTGGGGTCAGGCTGGGGCCTGGGCTAGGGGTTCCCGGTCCCAGGCGATGAGGGAGTTGCTGGCCTGGGCAAGCTCAGTGATTGACACTCGGCCCCGCTGTCGGATGAAGTTGGCCACAGCACCCAGTTCCTCTGGGGTTATGTAGATGAACTTGCCCCGGTCGTCAATCACACCTGTAGAGACATGCAGTTGGAAGGCTGAGCCATTTCGGGCCTTCTTTACCTAGCCTCGCCTTTGCTGGATGCCTCTCACCCAAGCAGGTAAGTCAGGCTTCCTGGCCTGTCCTTATCAACTGTAGTCAGTTTGATGCTGCTCAGCATGTCTTCCTTCTACCTGTGAACAAATACTTAGTACTCATGGCTGTATACCCTTTCCCCACCCAGGTCTCCCTATGCAGTTCAGGCTTCCTTGAGCTCACTTTGTAGCCCAGGCTGGTCTTGAACTCACAAAATTCCTTTGCCTCAGCTTCCTAAGTGCTGGGATTTCAGGTGTGCACCCCCATGCCCAGCAGGGCCTGTGTGATTCTCATCCTCTCACCTGTTAGAGTCCCCTCAGCCAGCAGGTCCTGGATGCGATTTATGGTGTCCTATGAGAACAATTAGAGACAGGTGCTGTTGTCCTCAGAATAAAACACCTGCAGTCTTCTTCCCACCACAGACAAATCCCCTCTTCTTCTCAAGACGGCCCCGCAGTGATCTGGTACTTGTCTATAGAGGCCTTGTTCTGGGCTCTGCAAGACCCCAACTAAGGCTCTCTTTCAGGTAGGAGGGGAGCAGTAGAGCCATGTGGCCACACAGTAGCCTGTGTACAAAAGAGTTGTCAAGATAACTGGATTAGGGCTGTTCTGGTCACAGGAACTGGTGGAGGGATGGGATTTTTTTTCTTTTTCTTTCCACTTGTTCTTCCATCTAGCAGAAATACAAGATTCCAAAGGTGCCAAGAGACACCTACACTCTATTCACTCTTGGCTAAGGGCGGATTAAAGGGGCATTAAGGAATCTCCATCTTAGGGCCAGGCAAATCCTGCTGGCCACGCAGACCCCACAAGCACCTTCCAGTGCTTACCTGAGTCCGCAGGCCCACTTGGGAAGCCAAATCTTCCAAAAGCACAACCTTGGACTGCTACAAGAGAGAGAGAGAGGAAAAGGGAGAGACTGAGCTTGGGCAAGTCCCTCCCACATGGGTGCCCTCTGAGGTCTGCGTTCTTATCTGACCTGTTCTATTTAAAAAGTTATTTTTTGCTGGGCATGCTTGCCCACACCAGTAATCCCAGATACTCTAGAGGCTGAGGCAGGAGGATCCCAAGTTCAAGGCCACCTGGGACAGTGAGACCGTATTTCAAAATAAAATTTAAGCCACAGATATAGCTCAGTGGCACACAGTGCCTGTCTGGCAAGCAGGAGGTCATGATTTCAATTCCTGGTACCAAAAATAAATAAATAAATAAAAATTGAAAAGGCTGGTGATGTAGCTCAGTGGCAGACTGGATTCAATCACCAGCACAGCCAAAAAAACCCCATTGTTTTAAAAAACTATCACCTTGGACTGGGGATTTGGCCGAGTGGTTCAACACTTGTGTAGCATGTCAAGGCCATTCACCAAGATGGAGATAGTGACACCTGAAATTCCAGCCTTCTGGAAGGCTGAGGTGTGGATCACAAGTTTGAGCCCAGCCTGGGCGACTTAACTGACTTAATGAGACTATGTCTCAAAAAATAAAACAGGGCTGAAGATGAGATATAGTTCAATGCAAAGGCCCTGGGTTCAATCCCAAATACTTAAAAAAAAAGAACGAAACCCCAAATACAACCTGTCACCAAGGTTTGTTTGCTGAGGACCTCCCAAGATAAGGCACTGAGGAGGTACAAGAGACACTGATAAAACACAGCTCCTACCCTCAACACACAGCCTCTTTCTTTCTCTCTCTCTCTCTCTTTTTTTTTTTTTTTTTTTTGGTACTAGGGATTGAACTCAGGACCTTGTACTTGCCAGGCAGATGCTTATACAGCTGTGCTATCTCCCTGACCCTCAACACACAGCCTGATTTGTGTGAGAAAGAACATGAAAAGATCAACAAATCCCAGCAAGCCAAAGTGTTAGAGTAAAGCCAATGGGAATTACTCCTCCTCCGACTCCCCTCAGCCTGGACCCCGTCATACCCAACTTCTTTCTCCCATCCTCCTCAAACTATCTGAGACACTAAGGCACCCTTAAAATAACCATTGTTACCACTCAAAATGCCTTCCATATGGGATCCTGTGCTGTCTTCCACGTGACACCCTCACACCCTCGGCGGACCTCAGTTCCTGTGGTGCAGCAGAGGCTCCACCACGAGAGCTCTGTGTGCATCCTCCCCCGCCTCCCTCATAGACAGCGTGTGACTTGAGAGAAGGAGGGCCTCTGTACTTCCATGAATCCTCACAGCAAATGAGCTGAGGGCTAAGTGACACTGTCACACCTCCCCAGCTGCAGATGGCATGTGACTTGCTTGAAATGCCAAACTGTATGTGCAAACAGTGAGACACAGTTGGGCCAGGGAATGAGCAAGCACACGGCCAGCTGGCCTCTACCTACAAAACAGGGAACAGATACTGAGCTCTCAGTGATACCTCAGAGCAGGTCCACAAAGCCACCTATGTAGTCCCCACAGATCTAACCTGAGGTGTGCTGTACCCAAAGTGTGCTTTTTAAAAAAATGAACTAATGAACAGCCAAGACCAGAAAGCAGAGGACTAGCTGGGCATGGTGGCATACACTTACAATCCCACCATTCAGAACGCTAAGGCAGGAGGATTGCCACCAGTTCAAGGCCAGCTGGGCTCTACAGTGAGTTCAAGGCCAGCCTGAATTATATAACAAGACACTGTCTCAATAAAAAAAAGGCAAGCAGAGGACCACACAAGAACTATGCAGCATTGAGAATCCTTCCTCTGGTTTTAGAAACCTAAGTTGAAAGAGCCCATCCTCTTGGAGTGAGGACAGGAAGACATGGAACTGAACTTCAGAAGCCCTTCTCCTTCCTGAAGACAGCAGTTTCAGCAGTCAGCCGGCATGGGCTGGGGATCCCCTGAGAATGGAATCTCCAGGGAGTCACCAAAAGGAAAGCCTGGGGACTTGGTCTCTGCAGAAAAAAGGGGGACTCTAAGCCCACCTGGAAAGGCTTCCTGGATGAGGCACTTCAGGACCATGTTGCTCTCCACTGGGCAGGGGTGACAACAAGCTCCAAATAGTAGCAGGACAGTGACAGGCATCTGCTTAGGGAGCAGACCCTAGCAGCAAGTGGGAACCAGACCCCCTGGCAGTTGCCAGCATTTCTCCCTCTTAGGGACTGCAGGCCCCAAGCTGTGACATGAGCCCAGCCCTGCTGGGAGGTAGCTATACCCTACTCTCAGAAGAGGTAGGAGAGAATTACGCAAGCCCTTGTTCCTTGGCAGCCCTGGTGCCACCCCCACCATCGCCCCCGCTCCCTCTGCACTCCTTCCCTCAGCCGCCTCTGCGCCTCTGAGCTGCACTCAAAAACCTCTCCCCTCACCACAGCTTTTGCAGGAGAGAAGTTGCTTAGCAGCAGAACAGATCAGGATGGGCTTATGCAATCCGGAGAAGTATCAGAGTGGCCTGTGCAGCCGCTATGGTCAGAAGAGACACATTGCCACACCATCCCAGTCCCTTGGAAGACCCAAGTTCTCAGTCAAGGATATGTAGTAGGGGGTGCTTATTTCAACTTCGTAGAGCCTCACTGTGACAGAACTGACAGAAAACACATGTGGAAAGACGCAAAAACAGTGACTCACTGAGCATGGGGTCTGAAGAGCAGGGGAACTGTCAAAGCCTGTATGTGAGGAAGTTATCACCTCCCACAAAGATCCAGGTCCTTCTCCACCTCTCCTGTCCAAGGAGAAGGGACACCCTGGGCCAGGATCTGGCCCACCAGCCCAGAGAACACATGTGCACCCTCCCAACACACACAGTAGGAACTGACACTGTGCTCTTCTGAGCCGTTTACCTTAATGTAGTTGATGAACTCTGTCAGGAAGTTGTGGGACTAGAGGAACAGAGAAATCAGAATGAGTATCACCCTGGCAGAGGCCACAGAAGTTCATGCCTGGGATCACTGTGTGCCCACACAACCCCCTGCCTATAGCAGCAGCGAAGCCTCCAAGGGTCAGGGGTGAGGTTCTGAGAACAAGATTCTAGCTGCTGCACCGTGCCAATACAAATACTTATGTACCTCCTAGTGCCGGGCCAGGAGTGTCTGGGATGGGGCAGATTTAGGCCCAACACAGGTTGCCTGTGTTTCACTGGCTTCCCAGAAACAATGGCCTACCTGCTCCTCAGTCATGGTCTCACCCACACCCTCTTCCTCTACCACGAAGGCCTCCTTCAGTTTCAGGTACTCCTCATGCTCCCGCCGGGCCTGCTCTTCCCGGGCCTTTCTTTCCTCCTCCTCCTGTGAACACAAAGAAGCAAAAGTCAGGCATGTAAGCCATTTGTCCAGATTGCCCATCTACCCATTTCTGTTCTAGCCCTGCTTTCCTGCTTTCTTAGGGACACAGCTCCTTCAAAACTCTCATCCCCTGGATACCAAGCTAAACAAGCAGAGGTGGGGCTGGGGAGATGGCTCAGTGGAATAGTGCTTGCCTGGCAAGTGCAGGGACCTGAGTTCAATCCCTGGTTCCACAAAAAATAAATAATAATAATAATAATAATAATAATAATAATAATAATAATAATAATAAAAATAAATAAAAAAGCTGAGGCAACCCCCAAATTCAGCCTAGTCTCTGGCCCCTGCCCTCCTTCCTCAGGACAACTACTTGGTAAAAATATTTTGAAAGCCCTGCCACAACCCAATACTCTCCCTACCCAATCATGAACAAACACCAGACTCCATTTCCTGCCCACCCATGCACCCAGCCAGCCCACTCCAATCTGGCTTCTATGTACCCAGCTCTACCAAAACATCTGCTCTTGTCTAACCCATACCCTCCATCTCTCAAAGCCAATGCCTGTGAGGCCTCACATCCCTGTCCTCAGTGAGGAGCACAGCCCACCATCCTCTTTCCTCCCTTGGCTTCCATATCCCACCATTTTCTAGACTTCTTCCTTTTCTACCTTCTCCAACACACAGCTCTGCTCCTGCTCCCGCCCTCAAACCCTCTCTGGGCCACTCTGCCTAGCCCATAACATCAACAATTTCCACACGATTGTCACAGTTGTGTCCCACCAGCATACCTCCTCCCAAACACTACTGATCACATGACTCATCAGCCAGGTCACCTCCAGGCACCAGACAGAAACTGTGATCTATCTCCCCATGTCCAGCCCTTCTGCTGGATCCCTGGACCAGTGCATCACACAGCCATCTGACCTGCTGTCCAGGTGAGAAGTGAGGTTCCCCCTCAACCAGCTGCTCTAACTTCACAGACAAAGAGCACCACAATCTAGTGCAAGAGCTCCCTCCTCAAAACATGTATTCACAGGCATTTAGACAAATGCTTTAAAATACGAAGCTAAAGTTAGAGCATGCAGTTATACAAAATGAGCCTGGAGTAACCTGTAGGGACAGGAAGCAACAAAGTACTAAATATAAAATATAAAAAAATAAAGCCACGTGAAAAGTGCACAGGAGTCAGGGAGGTGGTGCATGCCTGTACCATAAACTACTTAGAAAGCTAAAGCAGGATCCAAATTCCAGACTAGCCTAGTCAACTTAGCAAGACCATGCCTCAAAATAAAATTTAAAAAGGGCTGGTGATAAGTAGGCATAGTGGGAAAACCTGTAATCCCAGCATTCTGGGAGGCTGAAGCAGGAGGACTGCCTTGAGCTTGAGGCTAGCCTGGCTATACAGTGGATCCAAAGCTAGGGTGAACAACAAAGCAAAACCCTGTCTCTAAAAGAAAAAGAAAAAAAAAAAAAAAAAAAAGACGATGAATTAAAGTTTCACTAAACTGCCCTGGCTGGCCGGCCTCAAACTGGTAATCTTTCTCCTCAGCCTCTTTTTAATTTTTATTTATTTTTTTAACCATTTACTTATTTGGTACAGGGTCTTGCTATGCAGCTCAGACTCACAGTGATCTTCCTGTCTCAGCCTCCCCCAAAGCTGAAACTACAGGCATGTGCCACCATGCCCATTTTTAGTGGGCAGCTGGGAACACCTGGGGTATCAGGGATGGCCTGGCATGCAGTACTTGGGACTGAACCAGGATCCTTGAGCTTGCTAGGCAGGTGCTTAGACTGCTGTGCTATCTTGCCAGCTTCCCCTCAGCCTCTTGAGAAGCTAAAATTATAGAAGTGTACCAGTACATCTGGCTCGGTAGATTTCTTAATAATTTATGTACCATGTTTAAGGCCCTGGGTTTGATTCTAAGCACAGAACAGGGGGAAAATACCCAGAGGAAAAGAAAAGAGGGGCTTAAGGAAGGAGGGAAGGACGAAAGGAGGGAAAATAAAAAAAAGAAGGAAAGAAATTGTAACAGGACGATGGCAAACACCTAAATCAGGTAACCAAAATAGGTATAGGTACCCGTGACACACTATATTGAAGATGAAACTTCACTGTGATCTTCTTCTTTCCAATCTATAATTTCAGCCAGGTATGAAGGCACACACCTATAATCCCACATTGGGAAGCCTAAAGCAGGAGGATCACTTTGAATTCAGCCGGCCTGGAGTACACAGTGAGTTCAAGGTGAACACGAACTACATAGCAAGATCCTGTTTCAAAAAACCAAAACCAAGGAGCCGGGAAGATAGCTCAGTAGAATAAGCGCTTGCCTGGCAAGCGTAAGGACCTGAGTTCAATCCCTGGTTCCGCAAAAAAAACAAAAACAAAACAAAACCAAGTAAAAAACAAAGGCTAAATCAAAATTAAATCTGTAACTTCAGTATAGCTCAAGTGGTATAGAGCTGGTCTAACATGCGCAGAGCCCTAAATTCAATCATTAGCACCACAAACAGCAAAAAACTATTCCAGTCTAACCATCAGCCAACTCAAACTAGGGATGCCTACAAATTGCTTATTTGCCCAATACTCCTCCAACTAGTCATAAAAAATACAGGAAGTATTATATTACAACCCAGAGAAACCTATAAACACATAATAAATGTAACATAGTACCTTGGATGAGACCCTGAAAAGCAAAAAGTATGGGCCAGCCAAATAGCTCAGAGGATTAAAGCATCTGCAGGGTGTGTGGGGATATAGCTCAATGGCATAAGGGCATGCCTGGCAAGCACAAGAACCTGAGTTCAATCCCTGATACTGCCAAAAAACAAATGGGCCAGGGAGATAGCTCAGTAGAATAAGCGCTTGCCTGGCAAGTGCAGGGTCCTGAGTTCCATCCCTGGTACCGCAAAAAAAAATAAAAAATAAAAAATAAAAAGAAAATAAAGCACCTGCAAGTAGGGGCCGGGAGTTTGATCCCCGGGCCTGCCATGCTGGTCCTGCCCCTGGGGTGTGCCGAGATGGCAATTGAGACTGGGTGTAGTGGCGCAGGCCTATAATCCCAGCTCTTAGGAGGCTATAAATAGGTGGGCCACTAGAGGCCAGTCTAGTAGTGAGACCCTGAACACCCTGTAAACCCGTCCCCAAAATACAAAAAAAAGAAAGAAAAGCAAAAAGTATACTGGCGAGAACCTAATGAAATCTAAATAAGAATAGGGAAAACTGAGTATTAGGGAAAAGAACCAGAATACTGAAGTTATTGACAGGGCCAACATTCACAAAGAGGAAAAACCCTCTCTGCTAATGTTTCCCGCCACATTCAAACCACTGTGTTTTGGCCCACTTGCTACCCACTAATAGGTTTCCTGTCATCCAGGGTACTGAGACAATAGCACCAGTCAAGGCCAGCTGGGTCAGTCTAGGCTGACAGTCTATGTACTTCAAATCTTTGTTCTCTTCCTTGGGAACTTGATTCTCAGAACAAAACAAATACCTGGCAAACAAATGTCCATTAATCACCATTAACTGCAGAGGCTCCCATCCCCTGATCTACTGCCCTATGCCAGATTCCTCAATGATAGATGATGACTGGGGAAAACCTAATGCCTGTCCCATAGGCTTTTGGTTTGATTTGGTTTTCTTTTCTTTTAATTTATTTTTTATTGAGAAATAAATATGAGACAGTTTCACAGCTGATTAATAGGACAGTTTTGATAGTCAATACACTGTACACTGTTATCTTCTTAGTGGTTATCCATAGTACAAGAAAAAGACAGGATATTCTGTCCAAACACTGTTAGTACACCTCTTTCTTCTCATTGAGTTAAGCGAAAGTAGCTGTAAATTTATCCTATTTTGTATACATAAATACAAAATGATCTTTCTTTGTATCTTTTTTTTTATTTTTTGGTCCTATCAGAGGTGAATATTCTATTGGCATCTAAATACTGTAAGTGTCTGAATTCAACTAAACAATCTAACACTGTCTAGCAGTCTGTAATATTAGTGGGTTATCCTCAGAAGTTATTGACTTGAGCCTTTTACAGCTCATCAGATTAATATGGATTTACTTTATATACCTCGTTTTTATACTTTTCTGCTGGATGGTTAAGACCAAGATATAGCAAGACCTATATACCCAGAAATGTAACTTTTGTATCTGATAAGGTCAGCCAAGTACTCTCAGGATTTATCCTGTAGCCCTGTAACGCACCCCCCCCCCTTTTTTTTTAACAGTGTCAAAGTTTCACATGTATTAAAAGCAGGGAAAAATCAGAAGGGTAGAGAAAATGAAGGTTCTGCAGAGCGAGCCTGGACCAAGTAAAAGCAGGGGGAAAAATGATTTTAAAAAAATGCATCCTACAGCACACGTCCACCTAGCATGCACCCACACCAGCGCGCCCGATTTGGTTTTAAGGATGGGTCAAACCCAGGGCTTTAGGCACACTAGGTAAGCACTCCATCACAGTGCTATATCCCAGCCCTGGACCCACCATCCCTTTCTATGTTGTTTAACAGCCTCAAAGACCTCATGATCTGGAACCAGAACTGCTTTGGCCACCTGAGAAGTTCCAGGCACACTCCATAGAGCATGTGCACTAGAAGTCCCAGATCAGGCTTTGCTTAGCAGCAGCAGCTTCCACAACCATATTTAGCATTCAGAGAGGAGGGCCAAGTAGATAGCTCAGGTAAGCTATCTACTTACCTTAAGCTTACCTTAAGCTCCTGCCTGGTAAGCAAAAGGTCAAGTTCAATTCTCAGTATCAATAATAATAATAATAATAATAATAATAATAATAATAATAATAGAAAATAGCATTCAGAGACTAAAGAAAACATAGCCTGGGGCCAGAGAGATAGCTCAGAGGCATAAGCACCTACCTGGAAAGCATAAGAACCTGAGTTTAACCCCTAGCCCCACATGCCATGCAGTCTCAGCCCCAGATGGAGGCACCCACCATGTGCCCCGGAACCAGGCATGGTGGTGCACACTTTTAATCCCAGCACTTGGGAGGTTGAGCCAGGAGGATCTCTGCTAGCTCAAGACCAGCCTGGTGGGCTACAAAGGTGAGCACAAGACCAGCCTGAGCTGCGTAGTGAGACCCTGTCTCAAAAAAAGAAGAGAAGAGAAGACATACTGGACCTTTGCCCATCTTCTAGAACAAAGATATTAGGGAGCTACAAATGAGTAACACTGGCTAGCTGGAGCCCAGAGGACAGGGTCAGGGTTAGCCTCACCTTCTGTTCCTCCTCCAGGCGGAGCCGCTCCTCCTCCTTCTTCCAGTCTGCCTCCCGCTGGGACTCTAGGCGCCTCCGCTCCTCTCGTTCAGCCTCCTCTGCCTAGAGAGAGGCCTTCATCAGCCCATGTACCTTACCCAGCTACCTGGTGCCCACCTCCCAGACAGACCAGGGAAGGCGAGTGTTGGGTCAGAACACAGATGAAGGCTTCAGGAAACAACCAGGCAAGCAGCAAACAGGAGCTCAGTATAAAGAGCCCGGAAGACAGAGTTCACCCCAGGGACACAGAAGATAGAGCCCTTTCCTGTATCCCAGAGCAACACCCCACTCCTTCTGCTTGCCTCACGCTGGGCTTTTCGCGCCTGTTTCTCTTCTAGTTTCCGTAGTTTCTTGGCTCCAATTTTTCCTGTTGGGTGAGTTTCTACTGGCTTCTCAATGCCTTCTTCCTCCTGAGCTATGTATGGTCAGAGAAAGATATTTCAATTCCTAGCCATATCACCCTGTCACTCTCCTCAAGGGAAAGAAGCCTCTGCCATTCACCTTCGAATGTTACTAGACCAGCCCTGCTCTCCAGGGGTGCCTGGCCATATTCACATGTGCCTTTGCAAGTGTATGTGCTGGGCATGGGGGCTTTGGGCACAGAGCAAATGAGACTTTACAGACAATGCACAGTTACAGGAGCATGATGCCAATATCTGACCGCCTGAGAACACAGGTGGGGCTGTTGCAACTTGCAGAGGTCCCTGGTTTTTGTTTCTGCATCAAACCTCTAGGGAAGGATGGCTAGGGAATATTTATCCCAGTCTCAAATCTGCAGTTCTCCTTACTCAGGAATTGCTGAGTGTTCGAGGCTCAACCTCTGACTAAGACTATCCTGTTCCTCGGGTGCCAGGCTAAAAAGACAGTTTGAACTCCAGGACTACTCTAGGGCCAGCTGAAAGTTAAAAGATCCACTGATACCCAAACAGATAGATGTGACACATGACTCTAGATCTAGGAGGGATGGTACCACAAATGACCTGTTTTTGCAACCAAGGGGCTAATCCTAGGGGTTCAAGGAGAAAATTCCCAGTGTTTTCTGGGAAATGCCCAGAGGTCCCTCTTCAGGTTCAAGACAGCTGTTAAATACTAGAAAAGAGACACTGTAGGTCTCTGTGTCAACAGAATGACTGTCCCCCAACCCTTCCGGTAGTTGTAGTGATCCCATCCTAGGAAAGGCGCTGGGATATCAGGGGTGAACTGAAGCACTCTCCAGGTCAGTCAGATCCCTAATCTTCTGGTTGGACACCAAGAACCAAGATGAAGAAAGGGGGTGTACCCCAGTGGAATGGAGATCAGGCCATAGTGTTGGTCCCTATAACCCAGTTCATGTCCCAAGTCTCCACCCACTCTACTGAGCAACTCCTAGCTTCTCTCCAGGAAATTCTGGGGCTAATTTACCCTCTTCAATCCATCCCTCTTCCCCACCAGGCTGGGCCCCTTTCACCTGGGATGTCAGTTTCTTCCTCATTCTCATCCACTTCTGCCCAAGTCACCCTCTGCATTCGACGCTGAGCCTGTAGGCGGCTACCCAGGTCCCTCCGGCGGCGGGGTCTGACTCCAGCTCTCTGCTCCTCTGCCTCCAGGGGCCGTGACTGGCCCACCCGGGTTGCTACTCCTTGCACCTCTTCATTGCGTGGTAGCTCTTGACCAGCTTTGGAAAGAGAAGAATACAACACAATGCTGCCAGGCAGCCCAGCCCACCTCATGGCTAGGGAAGCAGTGTTTCTGAAGCCTCTCCTTCCTCTGTTCAACCTTCTAGACCCCGGCTGCCCACAGCACAAAGCACCTAACTTTACAGTCTGATTCTCAAGGTCTTTCCAACCCAGGTCCAAATCTTGGTCCAAGGCAGTAAGCTCACCTCTTCCCTCCTGCCTGTGTCAAAACTGTTTGCTCCCCTTATGGCCCCGACTTTCAAGCTAACCTGTTGGGAGACTTACATCCTGCTGTCTCCAGATTTTACTGAATGACGGATGTATAAATAAAATACATTTACTTCTTGCTTAACACCACTTGCTATGGTTTTGTACAGCACCCCAAACAGACAACACACTTTTCTCAAGTAAGGGGCTGGGCATTCCCTCCCTCCCTTCACGTTACCTAAGCATCTCTCTGCCTCACCCTCAGAATATGCAGGTGCTCATAAGTAGTTGAGGACCCAGGGTGACAGAGACACATACACAAACCCCTATGCTGACAATGAACGGAGGAAAGGGAGTGACAGGTGTATGTCTGTACTCCTGCCAATTACAAGGCCTTCTGGTGCAGAACAGGGTGGAAAGGTGGCTGGGGGGAGGAGGGTAGTGGCTGGGGCATAGCAACTTCACCTCACGCTCCCTACAGTTCGAAGTGGGCAAAAAGCCAAGTGTGGTGCTGGACACCTATAATCACAACACTCGGGAGGCTGAGGCAAGAGGATCGTTACGAGCTAGAGACCAGCCTGGGCTACAAAGTGAGTCCAAGGCCAGCGTGAACTGCACAGCGAACCTCTCAAAAAGACCCCCCCCCAAAAAAAAAAGTGGGCAAAAAACACTCAGATGCCCCTGCCCTGGCACCGGGTGTGGAAGTCTGGAGCCAAAATGAGAGGGGAACCCTGCCGCTTCCCCCAGGTCACAGTAGGGGACGGCCCTGACAGTGACCGACGGGAGTTTGTCTGCCAGGACCTAATGTGCCAAGGGGTGAAGGGGCGAGACTCTCGCCTTGTGGCAGAAAATAGTGTAGAAACCCTGCCACCAGACTCCCCGCTTGGGGTACAGCCCACCGTCCCGCACCAGAACCCCAAAGCGCAGACGCAGGAGCACGCGCGGCGGCGTGACGCGCTCCGCGAGAACCAGGCCGGGCCCAGCCCGCGGCGCATGCGCACCAGCCGCGACGCCTCAGGACTTCCCAAGGCTCCGAAGGCCTCAGGACCGCACCTCGCAGGACCAGCCCCTTGGCGCTTCTTACCTTCCGGCGGCCGGCGCCGGCTGCGGCTCAAGAAGAGAATCAGGCCAACGAGCAGTGCCGCCACTACCACGTACACCGCGGGCGCCAACATGCCGAAGACCTTCTGGTGAACCCCGGCGCCCGCCTGCGCCCAGTCACCGAGGCCCCGCCCACTACCCACAGTTCCTGCCCCTTCCCAGCCTAGGCTCCGCCCACCCCTGGGGCCCGGGCCCGGAGGAGCCTTCGTTTTCTTTACAAACTATGTGGTGTTTTTGTTTTTTTAAGGCAATAAATCTGGGCATGGTGGCGCATAGCTGTAATCCCAGCATGTGGGAGGAGTGAGATTGAGGCCAACCTGGGCTACACTGTGAGTTCAAAACCAACCTGAAGAGCATAGGGAGGTCATGTCTCAGACCGTGTACCAAATACGTTTTTTAAAAAGCCATATAATGTTTATAGGAAAAAGACGTGGAAAAGATGCGTGGAAATGACACTCTCAAGCGGAGGTTACTGCTAAGGAGGAAGAATGAGACAAATGAGCAGAATTTTAGCTAGAGCTGTGATGTTTTTCTCAACTAGGATTTGAAGAAAGGTCTTCACAATGAGCTTTGTCCATACCCTATTTTTCTTTTCTTTTCTTTTCTTTTCTTTTCTTTTCTTTTCTTTTCTTTTCTTTTCTTTTCTTTTCTTTTCTTTCTTTCGTTTTCTCCTCCTCCTCCTCCTCCTCCTCCTCCTCCTCCTCCTCCTCCTCCTCCCCCCCCCCTTCTTCTTTTTTAAGACGGAGTCTCTCCAAGCTGCTGTATTGCTCAGGCTGAGCATGAACTAAAATCCTCCTGTCTCAGCCTCCCAGAATGGAGGAGTCATTGCTCTGCTCCTCAATGTCCCCCAGTCTTTCCCCTTTAAAGAAATCATATGTCCAAGCAGAGTAGTGGTATATGCTGGCAATCCCAGCTAAGAGAGGCTGAGGCAAGATTATCTCCAAATTGAAGCCTAGCCTTGGCAATTTAGCAGTTTGAACCCTGCCTCAAAATAAAAATAAAAAGTGATTGGGAAAGTAACTCAATGCCAAGGCCCTAGGTTGAATCTCCAATGTAGAAAAAAAGAGGGGAGAGAGGTGAGAAGGAAAATCCGGAGTGGGAGCACATGCCTGTAATCCCAGCTACTCTGGAGACTGAAGCAGGAGAATTCCAAGTGAGGGCAGAGTGGGTAATTTAGGGAGACCTTGCCTCAGAAACCAAAAAGGCCCAGGAATGGAGCACTCCCTGAGTTTGCTTCCCAGAACTGAGGAGAAAAAAAAAATCAAACAAAAAGAACACAATATATAGTTAACATAGTGAACTCTGGCAATCATTGGAAGGTGATGGGCATGGAGGGGATCATTACACTGTCTTTTTTATTTTGTTTTTGAGGCAGGATCTCAATATATAGTTCAGGCTAAACTTGAACTCACTGTGTAGTCCAGACTGGCCTCGAACTCCCACTGATCCTCCTGCCTCAGCCTTCCTGAGTGCTGGGATTATAGGCATATACCACTATGCTCACATCAGGGTCTTTTTTAGTAATTTTGAAATTTTTGTGTATATTTGAAGTTTTCTATGAGTTTCATAAAATTGTTAAATGAATACTTAATTGTGCACATAATTTGCTTACACACAGAAAGTTGTCTGGAAAGACCAAGCAACTGTCAATAGACATAACTGTCTTGCTTATTTATTTATTTATTTTTTATTTTGTGGGGGGGGGCAGCTCAGCCCACCAGGGGGCCGGGCTGGCTGGCATGTGGTGCTGGGGGATTGAACCGTGGTCCCTGTGCCTTGCTAAGCTTGTTCTAAGTAGGTGCTTTAGACCACTGAGCCATCTCACCAGCCCCTGTCTTGCCTTTTTAAATATATTATTTTTATAGCTTTCATTTGGCATTCTCAGAGTCCTAAATCCAAACATGTCACTTAAAGTTTGTGAGTGGGTGGGCTGACAGGAGTGAAAATTGGCAGGGAGACCAGTGAGACAGCTGCTGCCCTGGTTCAGGTAAGAACAGAATGGGGATCTATTTGTGACAGTAGCAGTGGAGGTGGAGGGAAAGGGGCTGAAGCAAGAACTATTACAAGCCCGGCACAGGGATATGCAATTCCAATACTGGGATGCTGAGGCAGGAGGATCACAAATTTGAACCTAGTCTAGGCAACTAAGAAATTTAGTGAAACTCTGTCATAAAATAACAATTAAATAGAAAAAGGTTGGGGATAGGGAGAACATGGCACATGCCTAATCCTAAACTAGGGAAGCCGAGCCAGGACTATCATTGTGAGTTTGAGGCCAGCCTGAGCTATCGCAGGTTCAAGGCCAAGCTGAATTGCATAGCAAAACCCTGTCACAAACAAACCAAAAAACCCAAAAACATAAAGACCAGGATGGTACATAGCTGCAATCCCAGCACCCAAGAGGCTGAGGTCAGCTTGGGCAGCATAGTGAGTTCAAATTCAGCCTTCACTACAGAGTGAGAGCCTGTCTCACAAAACCAAAACCAACACCAACACCAACACCGAAACCATGCCAGTGTAGTACTGGCACAAAAATAAACATAAGCCAATGGAATAGAATCAAATGCATAGAAACAAAGCCATGCAAGTATAGCCATCTGATTTTTTTGTTTGGTTGTTTTAATTGTT